TATAAAATTTTTAAAATTGCAAAAATTTTCAAACTAAAAATACATTTCCTACTAATAATAAACATTAGGGGCTCACATTTACTCTATTTTAAACTTTTAATGTGTAATTTTGCTCTTCGCGACAAATGTGTTATGTAAAAGTAAACAGGCAATGTTTCGTTTCATTACACGGTATGCAAATTTGCACACATTAAAAGAGGAAACTTTCTTAATATCCGCAAATAAACAAATTTTTTTTTTAGTCTATTTAAAGTTTTTTTCAGTAAAATTCATACAAATTTCCTTAAATAAATCAAATTTTTTATTTTTTTTAACAGAGTATTTTAATCTACATTGAGATCTGCTTTCGTTTTAAATTAACAAATAAAAATATGTGATATGAAAGAGATTACTACAGAAAGAGTATATATTTACTTTATATATATATATTAAGATCTTGCTTAAAGCATCCTTTTTAGCTAATAAAAACAAATGCGCTTATACCTATTTTGGTGAGATCTCTTCATATGTTCATTGCTTCGTCCACAAAATATAAAATGCTTTAATTTCACGCTTAAGTAGCGATTTTTAATACCTTTCTACCATATTTAATGAAAATCGAGTTTTGAACGAAAAAAACTTTATAGAAAATATAAAATTTTGGCCTATTTAAAAAAGTATACACAGTTATAATGGTCGAAAAAAAAAGTATCTCGCAAAAATTCGTCTAAAAATGTATCCAATTGGATCTATTTAGATCCAAACAGCATACCTGGTAGTGATCAAGAATGACTCATATGTATACATACATACATTTGCATGGATAAATTTTATGGCCCTAATAAATTTGTAAATGAATGAATGATTGATAAAAGTTCAAGAGGACTATTTTTGCATTGTAAATTTTTTACAGTCTCTCTAAGCCTGGATCTATTCCCGACGAGTTGAATAAGATTTTCAAGTAAAACCAAACGATTTGAGGCCCATAAGCCTTATTTCATTTCTATAAAGACTTTTAGATAGGCAGTGGGATTCATACATTTAAATAATGGATTTATAAATTTAAATAAAGAAACTTTCAATAATGTGCATCAAGAATACGAGGTTTAATATCCCAAGGTCTCTTTCGCAAGAATAAAGGGACGGGTCCATAACTAGATGTATTACTTAAGGCACCATGCAGGAGATTGTACTGGTTGCAAAGTCTTATATAAGTAGCATAAGCTAACAATATAGCAATAATTTTTTTTATCAACTTGCAGTCAGTGTCAAACCCATCAAGGTAGAGGTGGTATTTTTGCCCCTTATTTGGGGGTGGACTGCATATCTCAACCTTATAAAATTTTTATTGTTTTTTTTTATTTTTTGATGTTGGTTGGAACTTTCAGATCACCCTACCATACAGGCGGTGGAAACGATTACATTTTTAAAAGTTAACAGAATGTTATGCCGAATTTCCACTAGGCATTGACATGACAAAAAAATCTATGCCACGTGCAAACAAACTTAATGATTATTTTTATGAACGTAAAGACAGTTATATTTTAAATGCCCAACACTGTCACTAAAAATTTCGACATCTTATGCCTAGTGGAAATTCGGCATTATACTTTATCCAAAATTTCGCCGGAAATGGCCTATAAGAAATCAAAGAAATGGTTTCAACTTTATGTTCGCTTATTACGAAATCTTTTGGGGAGGAACTTCCTCCTAGTTCCCCCCGTAGGCTCACGCCAGCACTAACCTAAACTCAGTACAAATGTATACTTAAAAATTAAATTTATGTAGTAAAACTTTAGTAATATAGACTTGTTTATTTTTTTCTATTTTCAGCATGTCAGTTTTAAGACATTTAAACCGATGCTTGCTTATCAAGCCAAACCAACCCAAATTACTTGTACAGTCATGCTTCTTCCACAAAAGTCCCACAGCGAAATCAAAGGATGAGTATCTCATCGATTCGCCAGAGTATTCATTTCTAAGAGATATTGGCATCGAACAAGATAATTTCGGTGTTTATAATGGAGCCTGGAAGGGCTCTGGAGAGCTAATTACATCCATAGATCCTGGCACAGGGCGAAAAATTGCCAATATACGTACGGGCAGCGTTGAAGAAATGAATGAAGCGATAGAAATTGGCGTAAAAGCTTATCGGCAATGGTGCCAGGTACCAGCACCCGTGCGTGGTGATATTATTCGACAAATTGGCGATGAAATGCGTAAATATAAAGAGCCACTTGGTAAGCTGGTCAGCTTAGAAGTTGGAAAAATTCTCAGCGAAGGACAAGGAGAAGTGCAAGAATTTATTGATATTTGTGATTATGCTGCGGGGCTGTCACGCATTTATGCGGGACAAGTGATTAATTCCGAACGACCTGATCACACAATATTGGAAGCATGGCGCCCTTTGGGTTTAGTGGGAATAATATCAGCATATAATTTCCCGAATGCTGTATTCGGTTGGAATGCTGCAATTGCGTTGGTAAGTGGGGAAACATTTAATATAGCAGCATAATTTAATTTGAATGCTCAGCTTAAATTAACTACTAGTTCCGGTCTTGAAACCATTTAGTTTTTGTCTTATTTTCTGAGAGAATCTTATTTAATGAGATAAAATATATAAATATTTTGATACAAACTAATTAAAATATATACTTTTTTATTCATTCAGACCACTGGTAACAGCGTTCTCTGGAAAGGAGCACCCACAACTTCGCTGGTCTCGGTGGCTACCATGAAAATCCTTTCCGAAGTGTTGCAACGTAATAACCTACCACCGATTGCGGTACTCTGTCAGGGTGGCATCAATGTTGGTCAGACACTTGTATCCGATAATCGAGTTAAGCTTGTATCATTTACTGGTAGTTGTGAAACTGGTCGCAATGTTGGTGTGGAAGTACAAAAGCGTTTCGGCAAAGTCATATTGGAGCTGGGCGGCAACAATGCCTTGCTCGTAGATCAGGATGCTAATTTCAATATGGTATTAGAAGCTGCACTCTTCGGCTGTATTGGTACTTCTGGACAGCGTTGCACTACCACACGTCGCATAATTGTTCACGAAAAGTTGTACGATCGTTTAGTTCAGGAATTGGTCGCCAAGTACAAGCAAGTAAGTATACCGATTGGAATGGTTTTAGCCACACAATCCTTAGACGTCATCCAATATAGTGGATATTTAATATCTTTCACTCGTTACAGGTTCTACCAAAAGTCGGTCATCAATTAGATCCCAACACGTTGATTGGCCCTGTACATACACAACAAAATATAGAACACTATAAAGCCGCTATCACAGAGGCGATTAAATTGGGCGGAAGAGTTGCTTTTGGCGGCAATGTAATACAAAGGGCAGGTTTCTATGCCGAACCAACAATTATCACTGATTTGCCACACAATTCGCCTGTAGTGCATCGCGAAACATTTGCTCCCATTGTATACATTCTGAAGGCGAAATCCATTGAAGAGGCCATTGAATGGAATAACGAAGTCGATCAGGGTCTTTCTTCGGCGATATTTACAGAAAATATTTCGAATGCATTTAAATGGATCGGTCCACAAGGATCCGATTGTGGCATTGTGAATATAAATACTACAACAAATGGCGCAGAGATTGGCGGTGCATTTGGTGGTGAGAAACACACAGGCGGTGGTAGAGAATCAGGTTCCGATGCCTGGAAGCAATATTGTAAGCGAGCTACAATCACAGTGAATCATTCCGGCAGGCTGGCACGTGCACAAGGAGTGGAATTTAATGTGGAATAAGTAAATGATCGATGTTTGTTTTATATATTAAAAAATGCCAATAAATGTATTGTGATTCTGAACTGAATTGTTGTTCAAGAAGTTGCTTAAGAGCTCCGCCTTGACTCTTCAACTTATACTTACGGTGACCATCCGTTCTGCATTATACGGAGCAGTCCTCTTTTGTGACCCATTGTCCTGGTAATTTTTTTTATTTCATACGGGACGCCAAATGTCCTGTATTTCTTTAAATGCCCTGTATTTGTCCCGTATTCGGTGTTTCGACGCCTTAACAACCCATTAAAATGGCATGCCTATGAACGAGTTTTAAGTGATTTGGGTATACGATCGTAATTTTCTCCATAAACAGTTATTATTTTCTAATCTGATTGCCTATGATTCGAATCGAGGAATACATACAGTGACCAAAGTAGAAATTAGGACTCGACATTTTACTAGATTTGACTATTTTTCCTTCCTTTATTTATTGTTTATTATTTATTTTATGAAATTAAAGCTCTCTTCCTAACAAAAACCATACAACACCAAATTTCCAACTTTGTGCAAAAAACTATAAAAAATAATTCTGCAATGTTTCACCAAAATATCAAACTTTTTAATTAGAGTCTTAAGAAAAAATTTGGTTTGCAGTTTAGTAACTTATTGAAATTGAATATAATAAAGTGCAAGTGGAAAGTGGAAAGTGCTGCTCACTTGCTTCACTTTCAAAAAATGGTCGAACATACTTCCTTTGTATGAAAAAATTGAGTAACACCGTCAAAAAAAAGTAAATAAAAAATGCCAAAAATTAGTGGTAAGCCGCTCTCCTCATGTAAATGCAACCACTGTATTACGGTCGCCCCTCGTTAGACAATAGCTCTGATCCAGTACTGCATGAACTTGCAGGTTTTTAAACGAACTTGCAGGAAGTTACAGGCAAAAGGATCCAGTACTCCAAATTCCTCCAAAGTCCTTTAAGTGAGAGCAATTTTTGGAGAGTTGTGTAGAGAATGAAGTTGCAAGATTTTACCCGAAATTTTCTTCGGGTAAAATCATGAAAATGGTCAAGCGATCACTGGTTGACGTTTTTACAGAAAAATTCTTTTTTCCCGTAGTTTTTGTTGTTACTCACTTTTTACTCTAACTCCAGAGAGTAATTTTGCTGTTTGACATTTTTAAAGGATTTTACACTAAGAGTATTGGATCAGAGGTAATGGCAAACCTCCGAGTGTAGCAATCACTTTAACCGAACCTTACATAAAGGAAATTATGAGTTCGACCTTCGGCCATATGGATATACATAGCATATTAGGTTGTCATGGTAATGACCAAATATTTGATCAATAAAAATCCGCCAAACTGTTTAGAATTCTGTGGTAATTGTTTTAAAATTTTTCATTTTTCGATTGCTTAAATATAAAATTATAAAAGAAGCCCAACAATGGAGGTTATGGAGGAAGGAAATTTAATGGACAGGGTTCCAGTGTTGCTACAACGTGATTTACAATTTTATCAGGTAGCAAACTGAAAGCAAATATTTACGTAAGCAAACGTGTTAAATACGCATGTGTGGTTATGTGTCTGCTTTTAAAATCTGAACCTGTAAACACTATTTTAACTATTTAGCGCAAGTTTTTTCTTTAAAATATATTTTGTGTTTTATGAAGACTCATCAACGCGTACTACAAGAACGAATTTGTCCTGGAGTTGTCGGTGGGAAGTTGGACTTTCCACGTTATGCCTCCTTTGCTGCCATCAAAATTGTTTTGTGGTAAGTTGCTTGAAAATTCTATAAGCCATTAAAATTCAATTCAAAAATGTATGGATTTACACTATAAATATTGCTATTTGTTCTATTTATTGTATATATACTATACATATCTCAATTTTAGGTGGGAAGATGAATATTTTGCCTCTTATCAAAAGCATTCTGGGCTATTGCATGCAGAAATGGACTTATTGGCGCCAGAACCTGTAAATATTTATTTATACATGCAAATTCGAATTTTTCAATAATCATCTAAACTGTATTCTATGTATGTATAGTCAGCTGTTGTTGTAAAAACCTCAGATCCGGAGAAATTTGTAAATCTCGTAACGCGTTCGGCGGATATGCTCCTAGAACATTTACATATACTTTCGCAAGAGTCCTTGGATCATGCCGATCTCTCGGTGTTGACAGCAACAATTGGAGCAGCGGCACTTATAAAGAATTGTCTAAATATTTATTTGCAAGCAGCTAATGTAAAAATATATCGTCCAAAGGGCAATGAAAAGGGCGGCGCTTTAAGGTTATCCTATAAGCAATATTTCCAGATGGCAGAGGCGCTGGCGGAAAGACTACTAGATCTACATTGTAGATTATTGCTGCTTTATATCGTACAAGATGCCGATTGTTTACATTGGGAAAATAGTCAGCCATTTTTCGAATCGGAGCGCGGTTCTTATACCGTACAAATGTGGTGGCATTACATACAAGGCATTAAAGATGATCTGTGGAACTCGGTGCCGCCAAAAATGGCTCAACGCATTTTCGCCGGCATTTTAAATGAAACTTTAGGTGTGCTAACGTCTCGATATTCTCTAATTTTGACCAGTATTGAAAGAGCTCAACTACATTTGGCCGATATCTCGAATATGCTGTTTTGTGTAGCAGAATTGTTACCCTATGTCTGTGAAAGTGGTGAAGCTTATATAGGTATGTAAGTAGTATACTTAAATATGTACTATAACGATTAATTAGAGTAAATAAATTTGATTTATTTTCTGTTTAGGCCTTCAGCTTCCTAATCAAAGTGCTATTATCCGCGACGTACACGCCAAATGCCGCGAGTTGTTTTACTGTCTTCTTTTACGTGGTGCGCCGTTAGGAGTGCTATCAAAGGTTTGTTGAATGCAAATATTTTGTGTGGCACTGTATGTAAGTAAGTATGTGCAATAAATTGCGTCGTGCTCCATTCAAAGGAAGGTGTCAATCATAAAGAATTCTCGCAACTTTTTCAAATTTTTTGAGAGGTTCATCCACTCAGGTAGCGAAAATTTCAGCTACGGTGGCCAAAAAGTAAATCGCGACGCGACATTTTAACAAGTTTGGCTATTCTTCTTTTCTTTATTTAATGCTTATTATTTTTTTATTAATGTATAGCTCGTTATCTAGCATTTATAGTCTAATAATTTCCGTTGATTTTTAAGAATTTTTTTATTCACACTTTATGCTTTTTTTCTATACAAAAAAACAACAAAAAATCCCAAACATCCACGGTTACCCCAGGTACTTTAAACTTACACTTTATTATACTAAAATTGAAAGGCCTACAAAATTGTGTATTAAGAATTTTGCTAAAAAATTTACTTGAAAAGCTCGAAATGTTGAATTTTTCTAATTTTTGTACAAAGATTCAAATTCGGACTTAATAAAAAACAAATAGCCAAAATTTGTTAAAATGTCGCGACCCAATTTATATTTTCGTCACTGCCGAAAACTTCATTAAAAATGCTATTATGTCATCGTAAAGGATATTTAATGTAAAATAAGGTTCCATATAAAAGCTTTATGACGCAGAATTAGATTTTTTGAGGCATTTTCAGCGTGTTAAAGCTCACAGCTAGTAGAGAATTGAGACACAATATTTTAATGGAAGTCATAAAAAATACCAAGTTTTATCATGCGCTCGGTGAAGCCGCTCATTTTTTTCGGAAGGCATCCTAATGCATATAGATATCTCTCAGACCTAGAAGGAATATTGGCTCGAATGCAGATTTACGGAAAAGAGAGAATATCAATATTTTTAAATGCACTTCATAAACGTACCAAAAGAAAAACGAATTGATAAACCATATGCGATGGAGACCTTTGTAACTTACCTGGGAATTATGTTGGTTTAAGTTAAGGTTAAAGTAAGTAAAGGCTAATATCGCACATGAACGAAAATTCGTAGGAGGTGTCGCGCCCAATTTTTTAAAAATCGGTTAGTAATTTGTTTGTTTAAAATATTTGTTTTATACAAAAAAGGTATTTTTTCCTTTAAATGTGTTTTTTTCTCAAATATTTACATACAAAGTATACAAATTAATATCAAAAGAAAGGAGGTTAAATCACCTTTACAGCGATATGAATCTTTTAAAAATCAATTTAAAATTTTCTGAAATATTAACTTTTTAATATTTCGAAGATCTGACCATTGACCCGTTATAGCACCTGTAATATAAGTTTTCACCAAAAAAGTTATATACCATATAAATAAAAGCAAAAGGCGGATCACGTCTGTATTTTTACTTTTTTTTTGCCTTTTTAAATGCAATAATTAAAAATAGTTTTTTACCAAAGGTCCAATTTCGAACTTCGAAGGCCCATATCTCGATTTCGGAGGTTAACTTCGAAAAAACGGAGGACTTACTTTTTTTACTAATGACTCAATCTCTTAAAACAAGTTGGTTTGATCCAATACCCAGCCGAGTGCTGTACAGTGTTATTGATAGGATTAATATCCTTATCAAAAAAGCTAGTTCGAACTGGCCTACAAAACTGCATACTCAAAAAAAATCTAAATAATCTGATTAAAAAGTTCAAAATTTTTATCAACATTTGTTAAAATTTATTTTTATGAATGTTCTACAAAGTTTGAAACTTCGGCTTAAATATTTTTTTTAATAGTAAGCTATATGTTCATAAAAAATCAAAAAAATTAAAAAAAAATAAAAGTAGCCAAAACTTGCTAAAATGTGTTTTCTCTATTCACATTCTCGCCTCCGTAGGTATGCCATTTTTTGATTAAAAATCGATGTATCGTATTACTAGTACATATTTTCATCTTTTCAGCTTTGTCGCAAAAATATTGAAAATATGGAAATGTTTTCATCGAGACAAGGATTACCATGCGCCTGGATATTATTTGCTTCGCCACAGCTTTTTTCGACCGATAAAACTTTTCAGTGGGTCACCGAATTTGGAGATCTTAGTGCACGCATTGCAATTTCATTGGAATTGAAAGTACTTTTGGCATTTCCCGAAGCTGATTGGGCTTACTTACTAAAGGTGAATTTAAATAAATATATACAAAAACACCGCAAGAGTTTTCTCTGGCTTAAGAAATTGTTTTCAATTAACTCTTTCAACACCACAAGCCTATACATAGGAGAAGAAATATGGCTTAAATTTTAGATTATATTCTATTAAAGCTTAATAGAGATATTTTTTTTTTTTTATAGCCAGTGATGGAAAAATAGGTACAATTGTACTTTTTCAGCCCTTTTCTAATTTGAAAGTACATTTGGTACATATATACTATTTTCGGTACATTTTCAACTTAGCCAGATAAATTTTTTTTGTCGAAAAGTTCCAGCAGTTTGAACAGATCTCAAGGTATTGGAGAACGTAATCTCAAAATCAGGCATGACAGATTTTCCTCGTATTTTCGTACTGTTGAACAGATTCGACAAATTTTTAGGCAAATTTGTCTGCTGTTGGGTACAATTTTTTCCTCACATTAAGTACAAGTTGAAAATTGATTTTCCATCTCTGATAAAACCTTTCAAAGTCATTTTCTGATGCACTAATTTTGGAAAAATTTCAATATAATATTTCGTGTTTTCTACTTTGCAAATTTGCGTATCACTGAAATGTAAGAAATATAAGAGGTAGTTCGCTATTTACCTACTTTATCTTTNGCCTTGTCGTTAACCTACTTGTTGGTGGCTGTCGGAAAAGCTGTCGATATTAAATCATGTCTCATTAAAATTTTGGAAGAAAGTTGCGCCGGTTGGAGTGATTGTTTGGACAAACGTCAGGTATGTGTACAATGTACACTGTACTTACATACACGATTGAACCTGCCTCGAAAATAGGCATTCAACAACTAAATAGACAAAAAATTGTTTGACTTTCAGGTTTGGAATCAAAAACGTCCACCTTGGTTGGAGGCAATTATGCATTTTGTTTATCCTGTACTTAATTGCATTGTAGATATGTTGGTTAATGCCGTCGAAGCTGGTGCTAGTATGTATCAAGCAATGTCTTTGGCTCTAACATGTGTTTCCGAGATGTGGGACTGCATACCAGAAAGTCTGTACAAAGTAACAATTTTACTGCAGGATATCATACCCGTCTCTACGCGACCACTTGGTAAATACTTAAAAGTTGATTTTTAATGAAGCCCTTCCATTATACATAGGGTTGCGTTAGTAGAACTTAGATACCACTGAAGGGCTCTCATTTCGTAAACTGGGACTAAGTAGCTAACTCAGTTAGTTAGTGAGTTAAATCTATAACTCAAGCTCATTTTAGTGAGTGCATTCAGTGGGATGAGCTATACGACTTATCAGGTATTGCTTATAGTGTGGAGGACAGTCGGAAAATGCATCCTCAATGCGAAACATGCGATATCAGACTGAAAATGATTGAATTCGCAGGGTTCCAGAATAGCCTGTAGGCTGTAGCACTATGTTCCATCATTAAAAGATCCACCAGCTGCGTGTATGTCTTCGAGTGGAAAGTCGAGAAATCAGTTCGATAATAATTATGTAGTTCACAAGGTGTCGTAAGTGTCGTATTGTCAACTATTTTTTGACGGTGTGAAATTTCATAATACGACTTTTATGGCAACTTGCGAATCCTTTAAATACAGTTTTAGCCGCTTAAAGTTTACGACATACAGCAATACGACAGTATACAGCAATCTTGTGAACTCTGTAATTCATGGGGGAAAGTCTTTTTGACAGAAACCACTTGAGCATGTTCCAACAGTCGCAATGGCCGAGTGAGCAAAGGACTGGTGTGCCTTTAGAGAGAGAGCCGATACTCGAATCCTAGGGCAGCGGAATTGGTTTCCTTTTTTAAACTTAATTTTCCTTTCATTTTTAGATTTACTTGTTTAATAATAAAAAAAATATTTTTAATTTGAGATGATTTTCCAATAATTATAGTAATTTTTTTGTTTGATTTCATTTTTAAATTAAAATTTTTAATTTTCATTTAATTTTTGGATTTTATTGTTAAAAAAATAAAATGTTTCAATTTCATTTAATTTTCAAGAACTTATTAAGGGTACTCATATATACGCGGAAGTTTCATATTTGGGCAATTGGGCAACTTTGCGCCATGTGTTTCATGAGAACAATTTTATATTTTATGCAATTTCTGACATTTAATTATTTGACTATACATAATTTATAAAGTTGAACAATTGAAACTCAAATTTGAGTAAATATTTAAGTCTTACCGCAGTTATTTCGAAAAAGCGTTGAGCACAAACCAAAATAAATGTAAACAAAATAGCTGATTGAGGGTTGCACAGCACACTGCGCAAAGTTGCGCTACAAAATTGCCGCGCAAAGTTTCCCTTTTTGTGCAAATGGCTTTCCATACCAATTTTGACATTTCATTTGCGAGGGTTTAAAATTCCACCGTTTGCCCAGTTTGCGAGAGTTTTGCGCTTTTAAATGAGTACCCTTATTATATTTTAATTTTTCAATTCAAGTTTTTTCTTTCTTAACTAGATTCTCTTAATTTTTAGCTTTTATTGTTTTAAAACGGAAAATATTTTTTTAATTTCATGGGAACTTATTTTTTAATTTAATTTCTTTTCTTTTTTAATTTAAATTTTCTTAAAATTTTAGATTTTATTGTTTTAAAAAGAAAAATAATTTATTTAATTTCATTTGATTTTAGAAAATTATTTTTTACTTAATTTCCTTTTTAAATTTAATGTTTGTATTTTATTGTTTTAAAAAGAATTTAATTTTAAGTTTTAGTATCTTATTTTTTTCTTTTTTAAATTTAATTTGCTTTTAATTTTTAATTTTTATTGTTTAAAAAAAAATGTAAATTCTTTAATTTTATTTGATTTTAATAAAACTTATTGCTCAAAGCCGAAAAGAATAACGCTAAGACCTCCTCCTAACAGATTTCTCAGAAAAGGGCTTTCAAGATGGTTGCCAGAATTGAAGATTTTCTTACGAAAGACTTTTGTCTCTTGAAAATCTGTGGTGAGTTGAAAGACAGTTGCCAGAACTCCCTGTAAAGAATTAATACGATTGTAAAGAAAACGTAATTTTTTATTTTTTTCAATCTGGTTTTTTTCGTTTATGCCAATTTTATTCCATCAGGTGATTCCGTACTAATGCAGGTGGTCTTTGCGGCCCTCTACACAGATTTAATAAGGAAAGCGAAAACTTTTGAAACGGGCAAGTACCACATTTTTTACTTAAAAACAAAAAAAAAATTATTCAACCCCTTCTTTCACATATTGTACTACAACAGAAAATAAAATGGAGAAAGCCTCAACATGTTATTCCATATCGGAAGCCATCTGCTGTATTGACGAAGATGACAAACATACTGATCAAATTGATTTATTTTTGAAACAAACTAGGGATTCAATATTGATTGAAACGAATTCGGAATACAATAATGGAGCGCGCAGTTGGGTAAGCACTTTGAGTACGGTCAAAATCGATGATTTAAATACTACGCATACTGAACGTCTGACTCAAAGTCCACCAATGAATTATGCTACAGAGTTAGATGTGGGCATAGCAGATTATATAGCCGATATATTAGTAAGCGATGTTCTTACGACAAATATTGGAAAGCAAGCGTTGAAGGTAAAGTTTTTTATAAACAAATGTATATCAGGATGATTCACTTATAAAGTCATTATTTTGCTATAGACCAGCTACAGATATCTTAAGAACAATGCTGATTGGTTAATGGAACAGCTGGGATCAGGCGTTNATATATTAGTAAGCGATGTTCTTACGACAAATATTGGAAAGCAAGCGTTGAAGGTAAAGTTTTTATAAACAAATGTCGATCGGGAAGATGTACTTAAAATCATTATTTTGCTATAGACCAGCTACAGATATCTTAAGAACAATGCTGATTGGTTAATGGAACAGCTGGGATCAGGCGTGCCAGTGGCTGGCCCAAATTTGGGACAGAGTATCAATGAACCTAAAGATTCTATATTGTCAACAATGTTTTTCGTGGGAAATCATACATTTGATCAGGTATGAAGCTAAAATGTAGGCACTAAAACTTTCATTTTTAGCGTTTAGTACTTTTAGTAGTACTGAAGAAGACTGGGGATGGGAAATGGATACTTTTAATTTAATTATGCCCTGACCTTAGGTTAGTTTAGGTAAGCTAGCTAATTAACCATTAAGGTAAAGCCGTTACAAGATAACGCGGCGACTACCAGATTAGGCAGAAAGCCTGCTGCCAGGAGACTAATCCGCATCTGTAAAGGGCAGGATACTCGCGGCCTCCTATTTAGTTCTGCATCTCCTACAGATCTTATCATTGGGCCAGTTTAAGGGCGGCAGTACCAGGAGGAAATGTCCCGTTAGAACACCCACCAGAAGCCTAACGTCCTCCTTCTTGAGGGAAACGGAAAACTTCGTGGGCTTTATGTCATACGTTCTGCACATAATCCTGGACATCTCGCAACCTTGCGTTTTGGTCTACACCTTGTGCGCCTTCTGGATCATGGACAGGTCGAGCTTCCGCCTTCTTTAGCAAGCCTGCCCATCTCCTCATTGCCCCGGAATCCAGTACTGATGTACATCAGTACCAGTATGTAGCAAATCCAGAGCTGCCCTGTACCCTGCCACACTTCTAGGGGAAAGTGCTGTGCGATAGTAGCGTCTTTATCGCAGCCTGAGTGTCGATATAAAGATTCACCTGCATATTTGCTAGGTTGCTGCTCGGGAGCTTTGCCGCCCTCCTTAGTAGTAGTTCGACAGCGTATAGGATTTGTCGAAGCCCAGTTTCGCGCAACGACTGGCGCCCTACGTCTCTCCATTTTCGACCCATCCGTATGACATTCACCGAGCCCGCACTCGTCATGTACTTACGCCAGCCTTCGACCTCTATAGCGGCTTCGAAGTTAATCCCAAAGTGCAAACTTGACGCTATACTAGCACATAAACTGGCAGTTTTTAAATCAGGGGCAAAGATCCGACTAGGCCTAAGCTCTACCTGCAAATAAGTTCAGAAACGGTCAAAGAAGAGCAATGAGTGAGCAAGTACTACGTTCCACCATAAGGTGGAAGTTTATCAAACTGCGTGAAAAAAATGTTTTTTAACTTTTTTGCTTTTTCACTTGATGCGGTTGCTAAGAAAGTCTCAAAGAAACTTGCAAAAATCAGACCGAAACTTCTGTAGAAGCACCAACACTTAAAACATTTATTAAGAAATTTTATGTTTTATATCCCATAGAAATATAAAGAAGCAAGTTAATAATNCTAAAACTTTCATTTTTAGCGTTTAGTACTTTTAGTAGTACTGAAGAAGATTGGGGATGGGAAATGGATACTTTTAATTTAATTATGCCCTGACCTTAGGTTAGTTTAGGTAAGCTGGCTAGTCACTGCGTGGTTTCGTAGAGACGATTAAGGTAAAATCGTTACAAGATAACGCGGCGACTACCAGATGAGGCAGAAAGCCTGCTCCCAGGAGACTAATCCGCATCTGCTAAGGGCGGGATACTCGCAGCCTCCTATTTCGTTCTGCATCTCCTACAGATCTTATCATTGGTCAGAGCTAGTTTAAGGGCGGGCAGTGCCAGCAGGAAATGCCCCGTTTGAACACCCACTAGAAGCCTAACGCCCTCCCTCTTGAGGGAAACGGAAAACTTCGTGGGCTTTATGTCATACGTTCTGCACGTAATCCTGGACATCTCGCAACTTTGCGTTTTGGTCTACACCTTTTGCGCCTTCCGAATCATAGATAGGTCGAGCTTCCGCCTTCTTTGGCAAGCCTGTCGGCCCCCTTATTACCCTGGAACCCAGTACTGATGTATATCAGTACCAGTATTAGGCAAATCCAGATCTGCCCTACACACCGCCACACTTCTAAGGGAAAGGCTGTGCGATAGTAGCGTCTTTATCGCAGCCTAAGTGTCGATATAAAGATTCACCTGCATATTTCTAGGTTGCTGCTCGGTAGCTTTGCCGCCCTCCTTAGTAGTAGTTCGACAGCGTATAGGATTTGTCGAAGCCCAGTTTCGCGCAACGACTGGTGCCCAACGTCTCTCCATTTTCGACCCATCCGTATGACATTCACCGAGCCCGCACTCGTCATGTACTTACGCCAGCCTTCTACCTCTATAGCGGCTTCGAAGTTAATCCCAAAGTGCAAACTTGACGCTATACTAGCACATAAACTGCTCCGTAGCATACAGCCTGATGGCAGTTTTTAACTCTAAATTCTTGACCGATAGATCCGCCGGCGAGAGATGCGACAAGGGGTAAACTGCTGCCGTTGGTGTAGTCCTAAGTGCCTCTGTCATACCGATCATTGATAGCATATATATCATCCATATAACTATTATGGAGTGAAATTTTATAGCCCACAGACTAGCCAGGAAATCAGTGGCAAAAGATCCGACTAGGCCTAAGCTCTACCTGCAAATAAGTTCAGAAACGATCAAAGAAGAGCAATGAGGCTTCACAAGTATTATGCCTTATGTAACCACATCACGAGCACATTCGCTACCTATCCCCTAAAGTTCGTTTGAACCTTTTCGGGGGTCTTAAGTTTAATAGCAATGTTTTGACGAGCGGAAGAAATAATGGACCCTAAGGTCGCGGTGTGTACCTCATATTAATGTAGATCCAACTATCTGCTTATATCGAAACGAACTTCGTCACTTGCCTCTCTTCTTTGCATGGGGCGCATCGGGGTTTAGTGGGGCTGCTGGCTATACATGTGGCTCAACTGACATACAGTGGCTCAACTATACTCCCATTCTACTCTTGCTTCCGCGTTCGCTCACAGCACGGTGCTTTAGTGAGCCACTCCGGCGTAGTCGGTTTCAGACTTCATTGAAGTCTGCAACGTCTGTTCACCACGAGGTGTGGTTGCAAGCGGGTGTATGTCTGTGAATAAGCGGCTCGCTATATAAAAGTGTACTTAGCAAAGTTTTTCCAGGCTCGGGTGGCGCGCTGGGTTAGGAACCCGTTAAAACCCTTCCAAATGAAAGGTAAAATGAAGCTGAGTGACTATGACTTGAGGGCATGTACCTGGTATATACGAACCCTTAATGGGAAAAGTGCCTAGTGGTGTGGCTGGTTTACGTTCTCGATAAGGCCAAGGTTGACATCCCCGTCATCCAGTTAGGCAAGAAATATGTGGGGCCTTACGACGTTAACTACAGTTGCCATGTAAATGAACATGTTTCTCGCCGCATTCTGGGCCAAAGTGAGTTTCTTCAAGGTGACGTTAATTTGCGCCTACAACCCGATGGAAGCAAAGGACGGGGTGACCAAAGATCTCTTCTATGGGCGACAGGAGCTCGCAGCTACAAGCGTTGCTCCTGTCACGATGACAATAATAGTATGTGGTACTACGTTTCAGCATAAAGAGCTTCAGCAAACTACGTGGTTGTCTCCATATCGAAAAACTAGTTCCGACTCACTTGTCTTTTGAAAAAAAAAAAAAAAAAAAATTGTTTTTAACTTTTTTGTGTTTTGACTTGCGGTTGCTAAGAAAGTCTCAAAGAGACGTAAAAAAATCAGACCGAAACTTCTGTAGAAGCACCAACGCTTAAAACATTTATTAAGAAATTTTATGTTTTATATCCCATAGAAATATAAAGAAGCAAGTTAATAAATAGCGATAAATAATTAAAAAAGAATTAAATTTTCATTACTTTTCTTAGCTTTTAAGCGGTGGCCTCACCATTGACTACATCACTTGGCTACAAACACCGTTATCATTGAATACGGAACGAGCTTGGCTGCATTTATCGCGTCGCTGTGATTTCCAGGAAGATTCTAAACTTCGAATGCCTGAAGTAACAATGGTGGCTGGAATTACACAAGTGATGAAAAAGTTGAAATATCCCAAGAAATTTTAAATATAAAATATATTACTCGTCTGGCGATTATAACTAGTTNTTCCAGGAAGATTCTAAACTTCGAATGCCTGAAGTAACAATGGTGGCTGGTATTACACAAGTGATGAAAAAGTTGAAATATCCCAAGAAATTCTAAATATAAAATATATTACTCGTCTGGCGATTATAACTAGTTAAGCTTATATGCACATTAGGGTGACTCTTATGTTTGTGATTTTTTTTACAACGAAATTTTTAGCGTACAAAACGGTGGATTCATTGTTGCTTATCTACTTTGCTTTTGCCGAACGTTGTGCTAAATTCTGCAGAGCTAATTTTATCACAAAATTATTGCAATGTTATTGCAAGTGCCACCCCAACGTACATACATACATATATATACAANTTTTTTTTTTTACAATAAAATTTTTAGCGAACAAAACGGTGTTCCTTATCTACTTTGTCATTGCCGAACGTTTTGCTAAATTCCGCAGAGCTAATTTTTTCATGGATTGCAATCAAACTTATCACAAAATTATTACAATGTTTGAGAAAGTGTTTTATAAGAGCCACCCCAACGTACATACATACATATATATACATATGAACATTTATATAGACTAGGAGTTCTAGTTACTGTCGAAATTCGACCGTATTTCTAGTTTTTTCAGACACTTGGAGAGGTAGAAATCGTTTAACTTATAAGGTACAAAATTACTTACTTTCCTGCTTTGGAACTAAAACGTGACTAAATTTTTTTTATATATATTTGAAGGTTTTTGGAGGACCTTCGCAAGGCTTTGAATTGTTTCAATAGATTCCAGTTTGTCGNACAAAATTACTTACCGGAAAATCTCCTGCTTTGGAACTAAAACGTGACTAGATTTTTTTTATATATTTAAAGGTCTTTGAAGGACCTTCGCAAGACTTGGAATTGTTCCACTAGATTGAAGTTTGTCAATAAATTTTGATAATTTGATGCATAACCATCGGCGTAGCCAGAATGAAATTTAGGGGGGGCTCGACCCTATTAAGCTGGCATTTCAGGGTACTATTTTATATATATAACGGGTGATTTTTTTGAGGTTAGGATTTTCATGCATTAGTATTTGACAGATCACGTGGGATTTCAGACATGGTGTCAAAGAGAAAGATGCTCAGTATGCTTTGACATTTCATCATGAACTGCCCATGCATCCCGAAAAATGCACTGTTTGGTGTGGTTTGTACGCTGGTGGAATCATTGGACCGTATTTTTTCAAAGATGCTGTTGGACGCAACGTTACGGTGAATGGCGATCGCTATCGTTCGATGCTAACAAACTTTTTGTTGCCAAAAATGGAAGAACTGAACTTGGTTGACATGTGGTTTCAACAAGATGGCGCTACATGCCACACAGCTCGCGATTCTATGGCCATTTTGAGGGAAAACTTCGGAGAACAATTCATCTCAAGAAATGGACCGGTAAGTTGGCCACCAAGATCATGCGATTTGACGCCTTTAGACTATTTTTTGTGGGGCTACGTCAAGTCTAAAGTCTACAGAAATAAGCCAGCAACTATTCCAGCTTTGGAAGACAACATTTCCGAAGAAATTCGGGCTATTCCGGCCGAAATGCTCGAAAAAGTTGCCCAAAATTGGACTTTCCGAATGGACCACCTAAGACGCAGCCGCGGTCAACATTTAAATGAAATTATCTTCAAAAAGTAAATGTCATGGACCAATCTAACGTTTCAAATAAAGAACCGATGAGATTTTGCAAATTTTATGCGTTTTTTTTAAAAAAAAAGGTATCAAGCTCTTAAAAAATCACCCGTTATAAGGAAAATTTGAAAGTTAGGGGGGAGGGGGGCTCGAGCACTCCCCTGCCCCTACCTGGCTACGCCCATGTGCATAACGATAATTCAATGNTCATCGGCGTAGCCAGAATGAAATTTAGGGGGGGGGGGGCTCGACCCTATTAAGCTGGCATTTCAGGGTACTATTTTATATATATATAAGGAAAATTTGAAAGTTAGGGGGGAGGGGGCTCGAGCACTTTCCTGCCCCTACCTGGCTACGCCCATGTGCATAACGATAATTCAATGAATTTCAAACACACTAAAATCCGATAACTCAACAAAAATTCGATAACTCGACTAAATTCGGTAATTTTCGATGAATTTCGGCAACTGTGGTAAATTTCGATAACTCAAAAAACATATCTCGACACAAATCGATAACTCGATAAACTTTGCATATTTCTATAAATTTCCATAACTTTGTTAATTGTGATAGCTCCATATTTTTCGAAAGCTATCGAAAAATTTCGATAATTAGTTACGCTATGGTAACACGATAAAATTCGATAAGCAGTGATAACTCGATAACTTATATATTTCTATAAATTTCCATAACTTGGTTAATTGTGATAGCTCCATATTTTTCGAAAGCTATCGAAAAATTTCGATAATTAGTTACGCTATGGTAACACGATAAAATTCGATAAGCAGTGATAACTCGATAACTTATATATTTCTATAAATTTCCATAACTTGGTTAATTGTGATAGCTCCATATTTTTCGAAAGCTATCGAAAAATTTCGATAACTTGTTACGCTATGGTAACACGATAAAATTCGATAAGCAGTGATAACTCGATAACTTATATATTTCTATAAATTTCCATAACTTGGTTAATTGTGATAGCTCCATATTTTTCGAAAGCTATCGAAAAATTTCGATAACTTGTTACGCTATGGTAACACGATAAAATTCGATAAGCAGTGTTAATTCGATAACTTATATAACTTTGAAATTTCGATAACTCGATATATTTTGAAAATTCCAAAAACTTCGATTCAATAAATCGACAAATTTCAGAAAATGAGTAAATATCGAAAGATCGATAAATTTCATAACCTTGACAAATTTCGATAATCCCATAAATATTTATATCCCGATAACTATCCGTAAATTTCGACAACTCAGTAAACATTGATCAAATTGAATAATTCGATACGTTGCGGTAACTCAATATATCCATGTTTATTGAGATGGATAAATTTCGATAACTATTTACTTTGATGATTCGAAAAAATTTCGGTAACTTGATAACTTTCGTAAAAAATTTCATTAAACGGTCTTATCCTTTCAGTTACCCTAATTCTTATTTATCTTCAACTTTGCCTTCACTTGTTTGTCTTAATCGTTTTTATAATTTATTTCTTCAACATCACATTTATCTTTAATACAAAGTTTAATTCAAAATACGAAGCAAAACAAAATGCGAAAACAACTCAAATTGAACAGGTTGCAACAAAAAACCAAACATAAATACGGAAATTTTTAAACAGCGATTTTGGCCGTAATTTTCTGCCAATTTTAAAACCATACAGAAAAACACTTTTCCAGTAGTGTTCTTGGTCTTGAAATCGGTTCGGTATAATCGCCAAATGAACGGTGACAAAACTATAAAAATACAAAGTACACATAAAATTTATTTCTTAAGCTTTAAACTATGGGTTGTAAAAAACAAAACAAAAAAAAATATTACGATTTGGTAAACAGCGATTTACAAGTAATTCTACAAATGAAAACATGTTCAATATTATGCATATAAAAGCATTTATCACCACTTAACTACTTACCATATCCATATGTACGTATGTATGTATCTATTTTACTATGTGGATTTTTGCTTACTACAACTTATTAAAGTTTTTGCAATGCTACTTTAACCCATATTTCTTTAGTAGCGTGAAATTATTTCCTTTTTTTGCTGATTCAATGAAAATAAAATTATTGGTAGTAAAATGTGAAATTGAAATGTGTGTGTATGTATGTATTTAATCGTGGCAACTTTTTATTGAAATTGATTCGACGCAGTGTCTATATGTATAAAATGGAAAATATTGATTTAGAGCTATGTGAGCTCATGAGACTAAATAAGTACAAAAAAAAACAGCAAGAGTTGGATATTGGTAAGTGCTTCTTCTTTTAATGTAGATATACATTAGTATCTACATNTATGTATAAAATGGAAAATATTGATTTAGAGCTATGTGAGCTCATGAGACTAAATAAGTACAAAAAAAAAAACAGCAAGAGTTGGATATTGGTAAGTGCTTCTTCTTTTTTAATGCAGATATACATTTGTATGTACATATATATATGTATGCCCATTAGACCGGACCAACTTGAAGCAAACAAATAAAAATGTTCGCGGTACGACCCTGAGAGACTAAAGTTTTTTTTTGCATTTTTCTCTGACACCTACTACATTTTAATAGTTCTACAACAATAATCGAAATACTTCTTTAGCAAAAGTTGAATGATTTTATTTTTTTTACTGACCTTAGGGTGGTACGTTAGGGTGATAAGAACTGAGACCTGTTGAGTAAGTACTAAAACTCGGCAGTTGGGGTCGATCAACATCGATATATTGTACGCTAATATCCGATTGTAAATGCCGAAGATATGATTTTAAAAGGCGATCTACGTTCCACTATGGGTAATTTGATCAGCTTATGTGGGTGAAATATTGGAATCGATTTTGTGTTCTCCTTGGTTAGCTATTTTCTAACAACTATATTTTCTAACAATTATATTTAATAAAGAGAAAAGTAAGTTATTTTAAAATCTATAACTGTTTTTTTTGTAGAATCCTTTTTTGGAGGCATAACCTTAAATTATTATATTTTTTTTCTTAAGTGATATCTGAATAAGATTTTGAAATATTGGCCGTGTTTAGACTAGAGATGGGCACGGGATATCGGGACCCACGGGACCGGGATGGCCGGTATGGGAAGGTCTTTAAACATTTTCCGAGCGGAACGGGACCAAAATCCTTTCCCGACACTCCCGATAAAACTTGCAACCTCCGAAAATACATAAGTTTCCTTAAAAACGTTTAAGAAATTAGCACTTTTTATGTTTTATTGAGACGAAAACGTGCAGTAAAGCAAAAAAATCCAAAGATGCCAGATCTTTCATTGTTTTTTTTTGTTATTTAAAATTAATTTGAGACATGTGAATTAATCTTAGTTATAGACTTTG